CGAAAGAGAATTGATTTAGCTATAACATACTCACAGGTGGGAGGCAATAAATCAAGATAAGCGAGTACGTTCAAACGAGTATAAAAAGTAATAACGTCATAAATAAAAATTCAATTTTTTCTTAATTCGAATGGAAATATGATGACGTCACAATGTGCGATCAGCCAATATGATCTATAAAATCGTATCTACAACTCATGTGCTTTCAGAATATGTAATAAAATTTGGAAGTCACTTTCATCCTAAGGAGCTGTAACTGATTAAAAGTAGGCATAATTTTAAGTATACATAATTGTTGACGCACGCGTACGCGCATGTTAAGTCGCGCGAACGGAAAATTAGGGTACCTGACATTCAACCTTGACCTGAAGATTATGCTCACTTAATATGATCCAGAAATGAAGAATCGTTAAGATGATATGGGCTCATGAACGTTTTGAGGAAAGAAAGATGTGGGGGTCAGAAAAAACAATTTTTTTGACCATGATGACGTCATCAAAATGTAAAAAGAAGTCAAATATATGAAAGAGAATTGTCTCAGCTATAACATACTAAAAGGTGGAAGGCGATCAAGCAAAGATAAGCAAGATACGCTTAAATCAATATAAAAATAATGATTTCTTAAATAAAAATTCATTTTTTTTAAATTCAGATGGCATGCCAATATGATGACGTCACAATGTCCGATCAGCCATTATGATCCATAAAATCATATTTACAACTTATGTGCTTTTAGAATATGTATTAAAAAAAGAGGGTCACCGATCATCCTAAGGAGCTATAACTGGTGAAAAATAGGCCTGATTTTAGCATATTTTCACTGTATATCGGCACAAATCCGCGCAAAGATACCTATATTTGATGCACACGTAAGGCATTGCTATTGGCCATAAGATGATCAAAAAGAATGGAAATTTGTGAAAACATTGTCAGAAACCCAAACTATATGAAAAAACATAATGTCTAGCTTCCATACGTGCTGCGCGCGTAAAAATGCGCGTGCGTAGTGGAAAATTTCAAAAAATTTCGAAATGCTCAAAATGGCCTGAAACGTGCTCTAATTTAGTCAAAAAGTGATTTTGAGCATTTTAAAATTTTGACGCACGCGTACTCGCGCGTCATGAAGCGCACGCGTAAAATTAGGGTACAGCACATTCAACATTAACCCGAAATTAATGCTCACTTAATACGATTTCGAAATAGCAATTGGTTAGGCTGATATGATTAATAATGTAAAAACGCAAAATTGCGCGTAGATGACGTTACGCATGACTGAGCGCGTTGAAAAGATGACAATGACTATTCTAGACCAAGCCAAATGTTTGTTGACAGCGATTGTGCGGTAACTCGTGGCAGTTTTTGAGATATCGTGCGAACAGAAAAGGGGAGAAAGAAAGAAGAATAAAAAGAAAAAAAAGATCCTGACAATAACAATAGGTGATCCGCTAACGTTAGCGGATCACCAATTATGCATTAAATATCCTAATAATTGTGATTGGTTGTAAACAATTATTTTGAGGCATTAAGCTAACCAGCTTCAGTACTGTATGTGTGTGTAAGCATGACTACTGTAGATGTAAAGATGGATTGGTTTATCCGGTGTAAACACCAAGGCTACCCATGATAGATAGTCTGAAGAAGACTTATTTCCAGTAGGGTCCTTCTGGTGGTGATTGGGCAGTACAAATTGAGACAAGCTCTGCTCTTTTCCAAAGAGTGTACTGCATTCTTTAACGTGCACATGGCCCATATTCCACACAGGACCAATGCCTTAAACGTCTCATCCGAAAGACGGTGCGCTATCGTAATTTGCATTCAGCCCTCCAGCTGAAATACAAGGAGTGCAGCGACGGGAATTAAAACGGGGATCAAGAGGTCTTCACGGTTCAGTGCACACACAGTGGCTGCCACCAGTTTAGCTGTCTGAGCTATAAGCTGCTCTCATCGGAGAGAGTTTCCATGGAAACAAAGCAGGTTGCACATACTATCAGATACAAATACAGATACAAAATATTATCGTTCATTTGTGATTGAGTTGTAGTTTCTACAGTTCTGTGATATTAATGAAAATAAATACTCTAATAAATATATAAACATAATTGCTTTTCATGATATTTTCAACTTTGTATGTACAATAATGTTTTCAACATTTTTATATATTTTTTTATTACTCGTTGTTCTCAAGAAAGTCACTGATAAATGTCGTTATATGGACATATCACATAAGTTTGTCACGCAAAATTAGATAGTGGAGAGAGAGCTTTATGCTGAATCCAGAGGATTATTGTTTAATATTAGCTGTACACTAGCAGATGTGGAAGAGCTTTGACCATTGAGCTTTGACCATTGAGCTTTGGTCATTGAGCCTAGACTTGCCACAAGTCCCTTGTTATAGTTTTCCTTTATTTTAGACAGCGCCGCCAACAAGTGAATAAAGTACAGTTAATTTTATCTTCGGTTGAGTTGTAACAAGCTAATCTGGAAAAAAAAGAAATCGAGTATAGGACGCCAATTATATTTGGTATGGCGCACGTTAAATGCAGTAAAATGTAAATAAACCAAAATTAGGGCCTGGAACCCAGGCTACATGGAGCCATGTGTTAACCAAATTCTTAAGAGGGAATACAAATACAAAAATGTTTATCATTTCACATATCAATACATTTTACCAATAAAGAGTGATAATTGGAATGTCAAAATGACAAAGATGAGTCTCGAGAAACCCATGGGTTTGTACAGGTGAGACCCCTCACCTAGTTGCATATCTAGAAGCCTTGATCTCCCCCCCCCCGCATCCACCTACATATGCCACTGCCGTCACCTAACTATCTCACTACATGAATGTACATTTAATGATAATTCTTAAAGTTTCTTATGGGTAATTGGTATAAATGCTGAATGGTGATTTCTGTATGTACAATGTGCTTAGGATGTGTTCAATGATATTAAAATCATTTAGCTAATGAAATATGTATCCATTGCCACTTTAAAATCCATATAATATTTAAACCAGGGAGGAGTGAATTGCTTTTGAACATCCCAAGTTTCTCTTTGTTTATTGCCACCCTCTCTAATGGTGGTCAACTCAGCCTGGCCTGCTGTGTAAAACATGATGTAGGCTTTATTTGACTGTCATCATCATCATCATCATCATCATCATTGTCATCATCTTCATCGTTATCATCATTATCATAATTATCCTCATCATCATTATCATCATCATCATTATCATCACTGTCATCATCAGCTTTGCAAATTTTGCATCAATACGATACACAAGACTGTGTCAAAATTTGCCGATTACAAGAACATTGGTAGGAGTCTCCTTTTAGAAGTAAGCCACACATCTAATTTTCTTTTGTTGCATGTGGTGATACCCATTGGCACTGGGTACAAGTAGTAAAACCATATCCTGAATTTTTAGGAGATGGGTTGTTTTCCTGGGAGATCCATGATTTCTTGTGGTAGTGCTGGAGGCCATCCTGATTCCTGGAGAAACCTGTGATTTGTAGGAGACCCCTGTCACTCTTGCAAAATGTGTCCCTCCTTTTTGGATATATCATGAACCATAGGGCTGGTCAGTTATCGTTAACTTGATTCTGATTGGTTAATACCACTTATTATTCTTCATGTATGTGTAAGATCTCCAAAGTTTTCTCACTTTAACGTTGATAAAGATAGCAGGAGCTATCGAAATATCTGTTTGATTTTGTTATCGCTTAATAAATTTGTGTTCCGCAAGTCAACTTTCAATGATTGTACACAGTTTTTTCATTG